AAAATCCTGACAAAATACTGCGTCCAGAACGATAGGACTTGGCCATTTTTATTGGCTCTGTGCCTCCGATCTGTCCTGTCTCCCCAGCCCCCACTCAGGTGACAGACAAAGCCAAGTCTGCAATTAACAAGCTGCTTCGCCAGGCCTTAAGTACCTACTTTCTCCTCCCTCATTTTGCAGCGAGGTGTTTTTCCACTGAGCCCAAGGAGGATGGGAATATACGCGCGCATGCGTTTATTCGCAGGCCAGTTAGGATCGAAACCCCCAGGGACACACTTGGAAAACGACCGAATTAATCACTTATGATCTGCATTCGGTGCACATTATCATAATATTGATATAATACACACACTGTTCTTTGCTTATTTCTATATTGAGAACTCGCCCTGCAGCAATTTTGAGGAAATTTGAGACCCCCGCACCTGGCTAAATGCTCTCTCTCTCTCTCTCTAAATAACCCGGGGTCTCCTGGTTTGCAAGGATCAGACTAAAATGAGTTACAGTTGCCAGAACATTTTTAAGTAGGGAAATAAATTAGAGTGGTAATAATCATAACAATTATATAATAAATGGTAAAAATTGTAGGTTCCCCAGCGTCCTTCATAACTTTATTTTGGTGGTGGTGGAGGGGTGTGTGGAATTTCCATCGTCCGCGTCTGGTGACATCACCAGGCTGAAGAGAGTGGGCAGGTTTTTAAATTCCAAATGTCACCGAGGCGGTGAATGAGGTGGCACTTCGACTTTGTCGAGTTTGCTGGACTTGAGTTATTAAAGACATTGCTTGTAAAATGAAACTTAGGACTTCAGGAGCGTTTCTGGATTGACCATCTCTCTCTCTCTTCCACTTTCTCTCTCTCTCTTTTTTCTCTCTCCATTAAGGAACCCAAGGCAGCCATATCTGCACAAATTATCTACATGCCCACACTTCCAGTAATTCCTGCATCTCCACTTGCAGAAGAAAAAGAGGACTGAAAGAAAGGATGCCTATCACCAAACCAAGACCCTTCTAGAAAGCCCTGACAGCTAGAAACCATGTTTAAGTGCCCTCCCCCACTGCCCTGGCCCCAGTGACCAAACCTGTGTGCTGGGCTGTAGGGTTTTGTCTGAGATCTGTCCCTTCAATAGGCAGATGAAAGTGAATGATTTGATCAGTGCAAATAGGACACAGTTCACAACAACGCTAGTCAACATTAATATGCTAGGTGTGCTAACTGCTTTGCTTGCGTTATCTCACTTTTCCTGTGATGGGGACTGTAGTTATCATGCCCATTTTAGAGATGTAGAAACCTGGGCTCAGAGGATGTAAATCGCTTGCTCAAGCTTACAATAGCTTTAAGCAGGAGGAGTAAGTCAAACCCAGATTCTGGGAGACTCCAGAGCCCCTACTCTTTTTTTTAAACATTATTTATTTGGCTGCATCAGGTCTTAGTTGTGGCCCAAAGGCTTCTCTGTTTGCAGGGTGCAGGCTCAGCAATTGCAGCGTGAGGGTTCAGCTGTCCCCACGGCATGTGGGATCTTAGTTCTCTGATCAGGGGTCGAACCCATGTCCCCTTGCATCGGAAGGCAGATTCTCAACCACTGGGCCACCAAGGAAGTCCCGTGAGCCTATACTCTTAACCACAATGCTATGTTACTAAGACAAGTCTGTATCCTGCAAGATGCGAGGTTTTCAAATCCTAAAGGCATGCTTGCAAGTCTGACATGGTCATGCATGATGTGAACAAATTCTAGCATAACTAGAACACAATTGGTGTGGAATTTAGCCCCAAAAAGCCACTTAATGAGTTCTTTCCATGACAATTTGGAAGAGTCCTTAAGTCAAAAATTAATGCTGCATCTGTTATCATAGTGAAATGAAGGTGAAAGAGGAGAGTGAAAAAGTTGGCTTAAAACTCAACTTTCAGAAAACTAAGATCATGGCATCTGGTCCCATCACTTCATGGCAAATAGATGTGGAAACAATGGAAACAGTGAGAGACTTTATTTTGGCGGGCTCCAAAATCACTGTAGATGGTGACTGCAGCCATGAAATTAAAAGATGTTTACTCCTTGGAAGAAAAACTATGACAAACCTAGACAGCACATTAAAAAGCAGAGACATTCCTTTGCTGACAAAGGTCCATCTAGTCAAAGCTGTGGTTTTTCCAGTGGTCATGTATGCATGTGAGAATTGGACTATAAAGAAAGCAGAGCACCGAAGAATTGATGCTTTTGAACTGTGGTGTTAGAGAAGACTCTTGAGAGTCCCTTGGACTGCAGGAAGATCCAACTAGTCCATCCTAAAGGAAATCAGTCCTGGATATTCATTGGAAGGACCAATGCTGAAGATGAATCTCTAATACTTTGGCCACCTGATGCAAAGAACAGACTCATTGGAAAAGACCCTGATGCTGAGAAAGATTGAAGGCAGGAGGAGAAGAGGACAACAGAGGATGAGATGGTTGGATGGCATCACTGACTCCATGGACATGAGTTTGAGCCAGCTCTGGGAGTTGGTGGTGGACAGGGAAGCCTGGCGTGCTGCAGTCCATGGGGTCACAAAGAGTCGGACATGACTGAGCAACTAAACTATTATCAGGCTTAAAGACCCAAAGTGGAGTTTACCCCTTGGCGAGACAGCTGTTCCTTTTCAGAATATGACCAATAGACCATCAGATGAAGTAATCTCCCATACGGTATTCCCCATCTTGTTGGGTCACTTATTCCCAACCTCTTAAGAGCCGTAATACAGCATTTGGAAGCCCAGACTTGGGCTAGACAGTCCTAGGTATGAGAGCTGACTTCCCCTCTAATCAACTCTGATCCCAAGCCGGGGACCCCGCCTCTCTGAACCTCAGTGTGCCACCTGTGAATGGGAGGGCTGCTCACGCTAGCCCATACTGTTGTGCCTTTGCAAAATGAGGAGAAGGCACTTCTTCCTCCCCTTCCTCAAGCCACCCTACTTCCATGTCAGTAATTTGTCATAATACACTAATTTCACTGAAACCAGACACTTTACTGCCATCTGCTGGAAAGCTGTTGTAATAAATACTCATGGGCACAGGCCAGGCTGTGAGTGCCAGCTTTTTTGTGCAGTGCGTGACCTGAACAACTGTACGTGGTTTCCCAAGAATTCCTCACTGGACTGTTGGGAAATTGGATCCCGCCTGCCAAGTGTTTACTTAGCACTTTGGTAAACACGATCCGCAGGTCCTCAGCACATGTTGACTGCTGTATCAAGCTCTGGGCACTTACTGAGAAATCTCAAGGAGCATCTGCTTGAGGTATGTGGTGTTTTTCAGTTCATCTCAGCCCATCTCTCAGGACCTATCCCCTTTAACTCCCAACCCATGCTTTCCAGGCAACTCTGGCTGCCCTGGACGGCAGCTTTCAGTTCCTGAACATGCCTCCTCTCTAGCTTCCCAGCCAGGAAAAAGGAACTGAGAGAAGTTTCTGGGATTGGCTCTGAAAACTCTTTCTGATATTCCTTCAATGCTTTGAACCTCTGAGGCTCCTCAGAGAGTCTTATAAAATGTTTGATATGTTCCATCAGTTTTACCCCTGGCCCGGAGATTCCTGGAATGGATGAAAAACATGGTGTCTTCAGTTCAACAAAAATATCTGAGTGCGAATCTGAGCGTGAATCCTAGCTGTTCCATTTACAAGCTGTGTGTTCTGATGTGAGTACTCTAGCCTTGCTGTGCTTGGGATTCTTTACAGGTGAAAAGATCTACTAATCTATCACCTGGAGGTACCAAGAGAAAAGAAGAAAATGTGTTTAAAGCACTTAAGAGTAAGCCCTCTATAAATCAAAGTAATCATTAAGAGCCAGGAAAATATTTCAGATTTTTAAAGGGCTGTACATTTCCAGCTGCCCATCTGATCTCTAACAACCTTGTTTACTAAACCAAAAGCTAGAACCTCCTATCTGGCAGACCTTCCCCCAAATGCCTGCTTCTGGTGGTTTATAGGAAAAGTCTAAAACTCTAATCACATTTCCTTCTGCATTTAAGGCATCACACAGAATCACATGTGTCCCAGCTTCTGTGGGGCACAGAGTTGCTTCATTCAGGAAGTGTTTTTAACATCACAGCTGTTTCTTCTTCAACAACAAATACTCTTGAGATATAAATGGCCACTAGCAGGGGATCCATCGGCATAGTTTCCCCTCTATGGTACTCAGACTGCCTATACCCAGTCCTTTCATCATTATGTCTTTTTTTTTTTCCCCCTGGAATTTTAGGCAAAATCAGAACATTCTCTGTTTCCCAGTTTCTCCTCTTATGTTTGCTGTCTGGTCCACCCCCCATCCCTGGCTGCAGACTTCCAGAGCCTTCTCACTCAGCCTGAGAATCTGTGGCTTATTGAAACATTTCTGGTACACAGAGTACATGCCTAGGTTGTTACTGGCTAGAAAACAGCTGGTTTTGGATGATGGTTTAGTTCATTCTGGGAGACATGGGCAGGGCAAGGACGAATTGCCTCGGAAGGCCAATCTACATTCAGATGGTCCAGAAATGCAGGTCCAGAGGCAGCTTCTGCAGTCTCCCTTGGCTGTGTGACCTTGAGCAAGTGGCTTCCCCTCTGAATCCATTCATACTTCCTTTGTCCTGAAACGTCCTTAAATGCAAACACGGCAGAACTTTCAGAAACACACACAGTGCTGAAGAACTGAGTCTTTGGCTGGAACCCACCAGGTCTCTGAAGTCCACCATTCAGCTGCTGTGTGACCCTGCATCAGTTGCTTCCCCTCTCTGAGCCTCAGTTTCTTCATTTATAAAAGGAGGATAAAAGATAGTTTCTATCTCCTGGATCTTGTTGTGAGGATTAAAAGAGATAATGTTTGGAAAGTGCTGGCAAAGTGTCTGACCTGGGGTGAACGCTCCATAAATCTTAGCCATTATTATAAGCCTTTTAATAAAACAGGGGCTTTCTGGGGATTTTTAGGGGGGTGGACAACTACTCATGAGCCAAGAAGCATTTTGGAAAACTGCTTTATTTAACATGTTCTGAATGTATCTGGCTGGACTTTTCCACTTAAAAAAAAAAAATCCCCCAAGGAGGCCACAGACTCGGCACAGCACACAAGCCTGCCCCAGGCCACACAGTAAGCTTCATTTGGGCTCCCAGGAATGAAATCCAGGCCTCTGACCCCGAGTCAGATGGTCCAAGCTCCCTGCTCTCAATCACAGCCAGAGATGTCACAAGGAAACCGTGCCACAACCTAGGGGAGGAAAATGAAATCTCTTGCCTTGATCTGGTCCCGGGGTTCCAGTTCTGGGTGGGGAAGGGGGGCAACCTCAGCACCCTGGAAATCTCTCCTCTCTCCCTTTCCTTCTATTCTGGAGTGCCCTTGTCTCTCTGCAGTACCCCAACCCTCACCCCCCAATATTTCCAAATCAAGACTGGGCCTTTTGAGACTAGAGCAAGGCTTCGCGAAAGACAAGCCCAGATAAACAATCATCAAGATAAATAATATTTTAATGCAGTATATTACAAAAAAAAAAAAACACTAAAGCCCCCCCGCCCCCAAAAAAGCAGTTCACGATGAACAAAATGTCAGCATTTTAAATAAAGAAAGCAGCAGTGACCACAAGAGGCCTCGATCACCTGCAGTCCACAGGGTAACCTAAGGGAGTGAGATTAAATTCGGCACCCACTCTCCCTTAACCCCACCCCTTCGAATTTCCTGTAAGGGCCACAGCCATAAATTTCCACCTCTCCTCCCCGTGCGCGCCCCTCTCCCCACCGAGGTGAGCTGGGGTGAAGAGCACAGAGGCTGCTTGGAAGGCCGGAGCGAGAAAGAGGACTTGGGTGGGACATTCCAACTTTCCATCTTGGGTTTAAACTCCATCTAGGCTCCTCTCCTTAATCAATAAAACAGGAATTAGATTTTTAGCTCCAAGAGTCGCTTCCTGTCGTCCAGTTTATGACCTTGGCCATCTCGCAGCCTTTTAAAGTCGCCGGGACTGGCTTCCTCAAATACCTGAGGTCGCATGAGCAGGTAGTAAACAGATTTGCGCGCTTCCTGCGGCTCAGTGGGCGGGGCAAGTTCAACGACCCCACCCCCGCGCGTTCTGGATGCGCTGCGCGCTCCCGCGCGCTGAGAATTTTAAACGTTCTTCTTTGATCGCCTCTATTTAGGGGGTTGAGGGTGGAAGGGGAAATGAGGTGCTGGAGCAAAATTTTTCTGCTCTCTCGCCGCGCGGGCTCTCAGCTCCGCCCTCGCCCAAGGGGGAGGACTTTGAATTCCAGACTCGGAATTCTTCTCTTTTTTGAAATTGATCGATTTTATCCGGGAGCTTCAAATCGAAACCAGGAGAGGGGGCTTTGAAATGTCAAAGAAAAGTAGCAAAAGGAAAAAGGGGGTGGGGTGATGGGGGGTGGTGGGCAGGCAGAAGTTTCCTTTCCAACTGAAAACCGCCTCGCTGGTACCTTTGTAAGGATGCTTAACCTTTTCACCCTTTCCAGGGGTGGTGGTGGGCTTCTTGGAGCTCTTTGAAAATTTGATGAGACCTGTGGACCTTCTCCCTGGGGGAGGGGGTGGGGAAGGCCCCTTAAAGACGTGATAGTTTGTATTCAGTTTCTGGAGGCTCCGGGAGTCCGGATCAGACAGTTTTTTTGCACAATTCGCGGAAGTTTTTGCAAAACCCTCTGCCCGGCCGTTTGCATTGGAGTGGAACGGTTCCCTATTAAAATTTAGGACGAGACATGTTTGCCAGGAGTAATCGAGACCTAATTTTGAAAAAATTTTTATTTGGATTAAAAAAAAAAAAATCCAGCCATGTTCTGGAAGAGGCAAGAGCTGACGGGCATGCCGCCTTCTAGCTGGAGACTGGGGTGTGGCCTCAGACTCGGAGCCTGGAAACCTGGGCCCACTGAAGACTTAGCTGCTGCCCTAGTTTCCTACAAGGCCACCTCTTAACGCTCCAGCAACGTCCCAGTCCTTTTCTTCTGGTCCCCCAGACCTACACTCCCGCTGCGGCTTGCCTCTCAGGGGTTTTCTAAACTTGGCCATCTCGCTCCTTTACCTTTAGGATCAAGCATCAACTCCGAAAGACCCCTGGTGCCCCCTGGTACCTCCTTATCCACTCTGCTTCAGGTGGGCCCTGGGACCAAGAGGATTAAAATAAATATCTTAGAAGTCGTTGAAAACCTGCTGCGAATTGTTTTTAAGTACTGTTTTGAAGACTTCCTAATGACAAGGCACCCCAGGGAGGGACAGGGAAAAAATAGGGACCTGGCTTAGCCCTGGCAGGGCTGAGCCCATTCTGTCCTTTATCTCTTTAGCAGCCGCGGGCTGGAACTCCATGAGGAAGAGAGGAAAAGTGGGTACAAAGGGTTCTGGGGTCACAGGGGGCATCTGTCCCAAAAGGTGGACTCGGGAAAAAGGCCCTGAGGTTTATCAGCTTCGGATAGATGGAGAGTGCCTGGAGAGAGATGTACAGCAAGAGAGAGAGAGAGAGAAAATATCAGAAAGAGACAGGAAGAGATGCATAAAAGATGAGGAAAAAGACTTCCCTGGTGATCCAGTGGTAAAGAACTACCTGCCGATGCAGAGGACACAGGTTCGGTCCTCGGTCGATGGGACAACTAAGCCCGTGTGCTGCAGCTCCTTGCGCCCTAGAGGGAGACGCCGCCACAGTGAGAAGCCCGCTCACCGAAACTGGAGAGTAGGCCCTGCTCGCAGCAACGAAGATTCAGTGCAGCCATGAATAAATAAGCGAAAAGAAGACAGTGAAGTAGTGAAACAGAAGCAGGTAAAGCAGAGAAGGAAAGATAGACCCTTAAAGACACACACAGAGATGTAGAGATAGCTACAGGTAGAGACAGCCTCCTGAGTCCAGACTGTGACCCACAGCCCAGGGATCCCAGGGGCCGGGATGCCATGTGGTGGCCCAGTGGCCTCAGGACAGCCCATCTGTCTCCTGGGTCCTGGGTCGTCCGTGTACTCACCTTGTACAGTGAGCCCATATACCTGGTGTGAGACCTGGGAGAGCCATCCAAGCCTCCGGTGGTTACTTGGCTCTTGGGATATGAGCATGTGAGAACTTGGGGCATCATTGATGGCTTGTTGGCAGCTGCATGGCTGGCCCAACACGAAAAGAAGCCACTAACTGCTGAAGAGCTGGGACATCTGCACCCCTGAAAAGAAGGTACTGTTGAAGAAGGATGGACTGCTGTCGAGAGATTGCTAAACCTCTCCCTACTGAGACTCCTACTGCTGGTGAGAGAGTCCTTCCTTATAGGGAAAACTGGGCTAGCCGAGGTTCCCAGGAAGGATGCAGAGAGCTTCCCAATGCAAGGTGGGACCAGCTGACCACCTGGGATGTGGGAGATGTGCCCCGTGAGTGTCTGCTGAAGAATCGGGGTCATCTGTCCATTGCCTGATCAATGCTTATTTAGTCCTTGCAAAAATCCCATGAAGGCACTTTGCTGGTGGTCCATTGGTTGAGAATCTGCCTGCCAGTACAGGGGACGCAGGTTTGATCCTTGGTCCGGGAACATTCCACATGCCACAGAGCAGCTAAGCCCACACCCCACAACTACTGAAGCCCGCACACCCAGAGCCCACGCTCAACAAGAGGAACTTCCACAGTGAGAAGCCCAAGTACCGCAACCAGAGTATAGCCCTCGCTTGCCGCAACCAGAGAAAGTCCACGTGCATCCATGATAACCCAGTGCAGCCAAAAATAAATAATTAAAAAAAAAAACCTACAAAGAGGTAGCTTCACTGTTCATTCTGTCCCCAGGTTCACAAGAGGTTAAGTGAAAGTGCCATATCTCACAGAGGACAAGTGAAGATTGAGGCTATATTGTCTGCCCTTGAAATCGCTGGATTGTTCCTCTGCTTGGCCACACTCCCAAGTCAGAAATCCTGTTCTTTGGGCAGCCCCAGTCACGTGACATTCTCAGCAGAGGGGACCGCCAGGCTTGGAACCATCCACATTCCCGAGCCCCACTCTGGGCCTCTGGGCAAGCTGCAAGGACCCATCTTTGAGTTCTGGTACACTCTGGTCTGTCCTGGTTTCCCCATCCCCATTCCTCTGTAGGCCCAGGTTCTCAGCACTAAAGTAACCAGAGCTACTGTTTAATGAGCCCTTATCCGATATAAAACAAGTTCAATGTGGTGGGAACAGAAAGGTCACCTGTTCCCTGGGGCCTGCACAGAGGGTGGGCTTTTTTTTTTTTTTTTTGCCTTTGAGCTCCAAAATATCTAACTGTGCCTCTGAGCTGCACCTTCTAGGCAGAGAAAAAAGAACCCAGTGGGTTGCGGCACCCTCGCAGACCCATCTCGAACATTCTGGAGCCCTGGGGCAAGGGCAGAGCTTGAGCTCCCCGTACTGTGATTAAGAACGTCAGAGTTGGGCTTCCTTGGTGGCTCGGCAGTAAAGAATCCACCTGCTAATGCAGGAGACACAGGTTCAATCCCTGGTCTGGGAAGATCCCACATGCCACAGACCAACTAAGCCGGTGTGCCGCAGCTATTGAGATTGTGTGCCAGAGCCGGGGAGCCGCAACTGCTGAAGTCTGTGTGGCTACAGCCTGTGTTCTGAAACAAGAGAAACCACCGCAATGCGAAGCCTGCGCAGCGCAACCAGAGAAAAGCCTTTGTAGCAACAAAGACCCAGCACAGCCAAAAATAGAGAAATAAATTGTATAAATAAAAGAACTTCAGAGTTATAAGTCAAGATAGCAAATTGATAAATAAAATGTATTCTATCATCCTGCAAGTGGATGAGTGTACCTTTCTAATAACCTGGAAAGTCAAAGTGGACTTGAGAATTCACTGGTCCTTGGTGTTCCGCCCTAGAGTCCGATGACACAGGAAGAGCTGTCACTCGGCCTCCAGCCCCACCCCTTCACAGCTCACCCATGAGGGTCTGTCTCTACCGTGAGGGTCTGTCTCTACCGTGAGGGACTCCGTGCACATGTGTGCACCCCAGCCTGCATGCCCATGCCTCTTCCACATCCCCTCCTGCAAACAACCACCACTGGGCCATCCCCCAGGCCCAGGGGTGAGCACAAGGGTGGAGGGATTTACCCCCCAGTGATGCAGCCAGGGAGTAGGACCAAGTGGGGCCTGGATGCAGGCTGGGGTGCAGGTGGGCAGAAGTCTCTGTCTGGGTACCCTGAACATGGGAGTACCAGTGATACAGTGATGGAGCTCCTGTCCTGCAAACCCGTGACCCTGTGATGGGACAGGCATAGGCAGAAAAAGGCAGAGAGGAGCCCACTAAAATGTCAAAGNAAAAAAAAAAAAAAAAAAAACAACCTGCCTGCCAATGCGAGAGACCTAAGAGGCACAGGTTCGATGATCCCTGGGTTGGGAAGATCCCCTGGAGGAGGGCATGGCAACCCACTCCAGTATTCATGCCTGGAGAATCCCAGGGAGAGAGGAGCCTGGTGGGCTACAGTCCATGGGATTGCCAAGAGTCAGACACTATTGAAGCAACTTAGCACACATGTAGGATTCTTGAGTTGGTCCCTGCGTGCCCTTGAGCATCCTTGAAAAGGTCACCCTAAGACTGTTTGTAATACTCTATAGGGCTATTCCTCTACTTCTTCATATCTGTGTGTGTCCCGTCTCTATACCTCTGTCCCTCTGCTTCTGTGTATGTATGTGTCTGTGCATTTGGGGTAGGGGTCCCAGCTTTCATCAGATTATCTGAGATATCCACCATCTCCAAAGAGTTTTGAACTCCTGGGCTTAGGGGTTAAGGATTTTTTAAGGGCAAGTGGTCCCCATGTTCACCAGGATAAATGTGTGCGTCTGTGTTAGTTGCTCAGTCATGTCCAACTCTTTGTGACCCCATGAACTGTAGCCCGCCAGGCTCCTCTGTCCATGGGATTCTCCAGGCAAGAATACTAGAGTGGGTAACCATTCCCTTCTCCAGGGGATCTTCCCGACCCAGGGATTGAACACTGGTCTCCTGCATTGCAGGCGGATTCTTTACCATCTGAGCCACCAGGGAAGCCCCAGGATAGATGTAATTACCTCCAATATTGCTGCGAAGAACCTTACACTGGAAACAATTGAATTATCCATCAACCGCAGAATAGATG